TATAATAAAGAAGAAATATGATATTTGAATTTTGAATTGTAGTTTGAATTTGTATTGTTATATAATTGAAGAGAATATAAATAAGAATTAATAGTTTTGTTTATATTAGTGATTCAGGTATCAATATAATATAATTATTTTATATTGATTTTTTAATAATAATGATTTTTTGTTTTTTAGAAAAAAAAAATAGTTTTTTATTTGTAATATATACAATATGGATCAAAAATATTTGGACTGATTTTTTTTATTATAATTCAATAAACAATAATTTAATTAAAATAAAACTTTAAATATTGTTATGGTGAAATCATAGTGAGTCAGTTGCTTTAATCTAACTTGTATCATGTAATGCTTAAGAGGGTTTTCTTCTCAAAAGAGGTGTGTAAATTTGGCCAGAGTTTGTAATGCCAATACAGATCAGTCCATCAGTCTGTATTCTATTTAGTTACTTTGCATACAACAATTCCTTTTACTATACAACACTAGGAATATTCTTATCAAAACCAAATTTTATCAAGAAAAACAATCTTTATTGTATGAGTAGAACCTGTTACAAGATCTAATCTATCTGTTTCTATTTATACATATTATATTTAATATATTTAATATATTCACTATTATACTTACTCTTATAATTTCCTATAATTTATCTGTCACTTTTCCCTACAACAATATATATATATTATAATTTAATTAATAAATTTATTTAAAAATATTGATTTAAAATCAAAAAAAATTTCAAAAAATATATAATATAGATGGAAATTAAAATTTTTTTATAAAATTTTTTTTAAAAAAAAATTAAATATAAAAATAAATAAAAATTTTAAGCTTATAAAAAAATTATAAAAAAATTATTATTATATTTAATAAATGGCATTAAAATTGTTTTATTTTTTTATTATATAAAATTGAGCTAACCAAGATATATTCAAATTCTTTTCAGATGTTTTTTATTTGGTTCATTAATTCTTTGACCAATGTTATGCTTGTTTTTATACGATTTAAATGCTGGTTATTTGCTATTTGATTTGAATTTACTTGGATTTTTGTATAAGATCTTGAATGGTAACACTGAGATTACTAGTTTAAATCTTTTTTTTTATTTTTTCAACAAATTTGTTCTATTGATCTGTAAAAAGTATTGTTATTACCTTTTCTTTTTTCCTTTGGAACATGTGACATGTGCATTTGGTAAGATTGATTATAAATAAGGATTTTAATGATTCTCTTCGATTCTGTATTCGATTCTCAAGTTTATATTAAATTTAATAGGTGGGGTATACTCTACTATAATTTTTAATAATGTTCCAAACCTTATGCGATTCCCTGCAATTTTATTTGATTCCAATTTTTGGAACCATAGTTATAAAAAATTTAAAATAAAGCAGAATATATTATATTTATTTTGTAATGTAATTAAAATTTAAGAAAATTTTAATAATGTATTTTAAAAAATTTATTAAGTAAACTTGTTTTTTATATTCTTAAATATATTAATATAAATATTAATCTTATTTTATTAATTAGTTATTGAAATATTACAAAAATAAAATTTGATATATTGTTTAATTATTTTTGATTCATATTATATATACAGTTTGTTTAAAAAGTTTTTGAACAAATATTTATTTATTTTATATAAATTTTTTAAAATATATTTTTTAAAATATAAACAATAAAACAATGAGTTTTTTTTGATACTTTATTAATAAATTTATTATTAAAAAAAGTTTGTTTGTTTTTATATTATATCAATTTATATATCAATTATGAATGAAAAAATAATTTAAAAAATAAAAAAATCATAAAAAAGTTTTTTATAACATATAAATTAATTTTAGAATAATTAATTTATTTATTATTTTATAAAAATAATTTTAAAAAATTTTAAATCTTGATTTTCATATAAATTTAATAAAAAAATTTGTATTTTGTATTAAATTTTGATAAATTTCTTTAATTAAAAAAATAAAATAAGCAACTTAAAATTTAATAATTAAAAACCAATTATCAATTATCAATTATCAATTATTGATAAAACTTTAATGGTTTTATTATCTCCTATTAAAAACAATATATTGTATATTGTATGTGAGATTTAATTTAAACCAAATATATTAAAAAAAATATTGTAAATATATAGTATAAAAAAAAACCCGAATTTTTTTTTATTTTTTTTTTATATACAATATATTTTTTAATATCATTTTTATTATATTTGATTACAAGTTGAAGAAGTCACATGTTATCTTTGATAATTACCAATAACTATTATCATACAATAATATTTTAAAAATTTCAATGATTGATTTAACAAAAAAAAAGGGGGTATACAGTAACTGATTTTATAAAATTGTATTATCTACTATGATCGTCTATGTATAAAAACAACAAGAACACCATATGATGCATTCATACAATATTATGTAAATAAAAAAAATTTTGAAGGGATCATTGATGTAAACATTAATGGATACTAGATAACAAATAAATTTTTAAATAAAATATATATTGAATAATAAAAATAAAAATATAAAAGGGTCGAATATATATATATATAGAAAAAGAAAAGAAAAATCCATAAAATGAAAAAAAAGGGGGGACACAGCTTTTTTTAATGACATCGTTCTTTTTTTTTTTTAGAAAAAAAAAAGCTATTTTTGAACTTCTAATTATGCAAAGTCTTTATTGAATACGGTGTATTAGAACATGTAAATCTCATGTGTCACATAAAGATAAAACAAACATCGTATTCGAGTATTCGAAGGAATATTTTTGCCACGGTAAATTATTTTCGAGTGAGTGTATTCGTGCTTACGTGTAGTATGCACCATATGAATCAGAAGTTTGAATGCAGTCCACTTATGCGACTCCTTGTTCCCTAGCGATTGATGCAAGACGAACAATATTCTTTGATAGACCAGACACAGATGAACGCATCAAGGGCGCTTGGTGTCCCAGGATTTTGATGTTGAATGGCTCTATGGTGTTAGCACAGGATACAGTATATACAGTCGGAATTTTATTTTACCACACCGGCTATTATTAGTCACCGTCATTGTGTCACAACCATTTGGGATATTTTTAAAAAACACGAAGGATTTTGAATGAAAAAGGTTGACCGATACCATGAATTGTACATCTTCAAAGAAGAATTCACGATTTCACATTTGTCGGGTAAGTTTCTAATTTGGAAAATGCAAACATCCTTGCCACACTGTGAAATGACGCGCTCTACAATACCACAGTGTGCAGTATCTTTATGTATACATACGTATACAGTATATCGAGACGTCTATCAAAGCCAATATGTCACTCGGAAAACCAAAAACTCCAAGCAGGGAAACTTTAAATTACCGATCTCCAACGTGCGGGATATCGGCAAGTAATACAACCCAAAAGCATAAACGGCCGTTTTCTCTGTACAATATACTGTATTTCAAGGGTTGGACCATTATGCATTTTCCATTTTCAGATTACAGTATGATGTTTCTATTATTCCTGTTAGAGATATGTAAACATTCCAACCATGGAAAATTCGGTCAAGGGTACACGAATCCTAATGTTCTTAGGTAAATTGTATGTGGACCACCCATGCTTGCATCAAGGAAAACGGTTGGTATCAATTCCCAAGATCAGATGAAGGCAAGGCATCAGCCAAATGCGCGCAAAAGATTTCCTGCGTCGGGTTCTGTGTGAAACCCTTCAAAGATTGGAAACTAGCAAGTGATAACCATTATCTAACTTACTAAGGGTTCTTGGTAAAATTTACGTTACGTGTGCGCTCTGCTGAATTCCAAAATCGGAAATTTTTCCTTATCTTATATAACGACGAACATAAACAGATGATGATGGAGATGGATAAAGGAAATACAGTATCAACAAGCAACCTACGAAAACACAATGGTAATTTAAAGGTGTTCAGATTTTGTGGTACAAATGTAAAATTCGAAGAGAGCCCACTCGGAGATAAGATTCTTTTACAAAAAGGGAAAAATCGGGATTTCCGGATGAAGCACGAGATGCACGCACGCAGCAGCGAATCGAGGGCTTGTTCACATGACTTGATATTTACACTATTTTCTTTTTACCTATTGCGTTCCGAGGAACGTAACATGCACGTTTTATTAATACTCATGTAACTAACCGCATATCGAAAGGTTTTCTTTTTTCTTTTTTTTTTTTTTTTTTACTTCAAATCTCGTGTCACCGAGGGTAGGCGATTTTATGGTAAGTAAAAAATCGGAATGCATAGTGACACGAAATTACAGTACGTAACGTATTAATGATTATTAAGTTTAAGTGTAAACATTGACCTCACATCATTCTAGTTGGAAGGTCAATTATGGAAATTGATATTCCGAGGGGATTTTCCTTCACATCTAATATCGAAACTTTTTAGACCGCGCCCTCCAGCCATTGTACCACAGCAATACGAATTTCCGTTTTCCAGGTGTTTTTTGCAAACTCCGCTTGTATGATATTGTAGTCTACCACCAATTAAATAAATTACGTAATTAAACAATGATAACGATCTAAATATGTGTTGAGTACGAGTTTTATGAACTTGCACGATATCCATATCAAAGACTTGCGTGCCACATAATTCGGATTCACAGCTCCACAAAATATACATACGATATTCAGAATATCATTAATTCATTTACACGCACGCATACATTCATTTCGGTTAATTTCCTTTCAACATTCACTCCGTATTAACGTTAACCGATTTATCATCGACATATGAATTAGGACCAAGTACGAAGGATAGCGTCGATACATAACATCCCCATTCATTCAGACAAAAACGTTTCACACTAGTGTTTGTTCACTTTCCGATTCGTTTGCATGCATTGTCATCCACCCATCTATTTACTCTCGAGAAACTTCTCCCACTTTGCACCCGAGTTACAGTATATTCGAATATTCCGAATTAATTAATCTGGTGCTCAACATTTTTCACCCGCTCACGTTAATTGCAAGAACTTCAAATGACCGACTCATCTAATCCAACAGATATCCTCAATATACCATCCACGCAACCCGATAATTCTTTTGAGGAAAAAGGTTTACGAGACGAATTGGTCGCCAATAGTGAAAGTGAGGTGGACATAATGAGAGAAAAGGTGGATAGCATAAAAAGGGAGACGGGAGTTGATGTTAAAGGAAAGGCAAAGGAAGTCGAAGAATTTGAAAAGATAGAAGATGATGATATAAATTCCTCGGAAAATTTGCCAATCCAATCGAGTTATAATTCTGACATTGACATTGACAATTTGAACTCGAAGGGAAAAAATTTAGAATTGGTTGAAAATTCGGAGAGAGTAAAGGCGAGCGGGGAGATTGTGATCGAGGACGGGAACAGTGGTAACATTATACATTATGAACTTTATTTTCTTCGTGTTTCTTCGGTATTTTGAATTCGGTAGAAATTTCCAAATTCAGATGCGCTCGAACCATTATTACTAGCTTCCACACAGACATCCACAAACTCAACCTCGACCACCGCCTTCACAACCCCTTCCTTGACAAACACGATACCCGTCAAACCTCACCCAATAATCACGCAAAATACATCCTTTTACGATCATGACTATCAAGATGATGAAATCACAGCCGAACCTTCAAGCAGCAGAAGTCGGAATGTCGATGGTACACATCCGCCATTTCAAATTACCATGTCACATGCGATACCAATGAAATTAAATTCTCACTCCCTTCTTCACCCTTCCCATTTAGAATCGATGCCGATCGGAATTGAATTTATAGAAGGTAACGATCTCTCGTCGAATTCATATTTTTTTATCGAATCGATGTCATATACAAATTCATTTGCAGACCCACAAGTACCTTACATACCTAGTTTCGAAGAAGCATACGGTACGTTCTGTTTCCTCAAATGTGGAAGCCCAAACACACCACGAGATATATTTTTTATTGGTAATTCTCGGAAATTAGCGAAAATAAAAAAAAATACATTTTTTTTTTTTTCCCATGTTCAGGCTTTTCACCATACGAGTATGAATATTACTTTATAGGGAAGGATGATTTTGAGGATAGAACATGTGAGTCGGACATCTTGTTCTTTGATTTTTGGTTTTACGTGAATCACTCGCTCATTGAAAAAAAAAAAAAAATTAGTCCGCACATACGGCGCCAGGTTCAAGAATGCAAAAAGTAAAAATCCACAAAAGCAAGAGGATACCAGAGATATCAAGAATAAACAAAAGAAAAAGGGAAAGGGGAAGGAAACCGGCAATAAAATGAGCAAATATTTTTGTGGAATCAGGATTAAGAACAGGTGATTTTTTGTTTTCGCAACTGAGGCTATTTTTCTCAATTTCCTAACAACAACAACAAAATTCCCCTAGGTTTCTTAAGTGGTTGCTTTTTGCCAAACATCGCAACTGAATCTTTGTTCGTAGAAGAACTTCACCGCCCTAATTTCATGTCACTTTACATACATAATATTTCTGAATCTTTTTTAACTTAGAAACTGAAACACGTTTGATCACGTGACTCATCATGTGTACATAAAAGGTTATCAATACTCAATCACACATTACACGTACTCGTATCTTTTGATAGCAGATAGCATAGTTTTACGTACTTGTCATTAATACACGTGTATATATACGTAAGGTAATATTTACTATAATATACAATATACAGTACAGTATGTTACATTCGGCCAAATACGATTTTGACTAGAGCCGTCGTGTGCGCATTGTAGAAGTCGAAAAAAGCAAACAGTACAGTTTAGGATCTTATGATGACAACTTTCAACTCCTCTAATAGTTTGCACGCTTGTTCTGAACCTTTGATCGCTGCCAATCGCAAATATTCCTCTCCTTTTTGCTGATTCTTCTCAAATCCGTATTTTCCGTAAATATAAATGGATCCGAGATTGAATTGCGCGGAAACGTTTCCTCCGGCCGCTGCCAACATTAAATACTTTGTAAATATATTGTGATCCAATTGTTCGCCCATCGTGTCTTTCAATCCGAACGCGTATCTCAATTGTGCCTCGGCAATTCCCTCATCTGCTGCCTCTTTAAATAATTAGAGCGCCTTCTTTTGATCCTTTTCAAAATATCCTTCCCATAAATAATATCCCATCCAATATTTCGCCATGGGATCGCCAAGTTTGGAGTGTCCCTTGAAACATTTCCACGCTTTTTCGTGCTCCTTCTTTTTGTGTGCTCGGATCCCTTGTTCAACCGATATTAGTTGTTCGAATAGAAAATGAGGTGATTCCGGTGGCTCGGGGGCTGTGACCTCGACATTAGAACTTCGGGGTCGAAGTGATGGAGATTTGGTTTGTGAAAAATTCTCATTAAAGATCCGATGCAACTCGTTAAACATGTATTTAATATCTGGACGGTCCGATGGTTCCTGTTGCCATGCTGTAAATTTTGAATGGTTTTCATGAAAACCGTGGACATTTCCACTTGATCACACGGGAAAACTATCACCTTACCTTTCTTGATGACTGCGCAAAACTTTTCTTGAAGCGGCGTCGGTGCCAACCCAAAGTTCATCTTTTCCCGACCCTCGCCCTTCACATGCTTTTGGATGTCCTGAACCTCCATTCCCTTATACGGAATCCGTTGGAATGCCAATTCCCAAAGGAGCATTCCAAAACTAGAAATTTGATTTTTTCGAACCTGGATTATTATTTCCTAAACTAGCTTCACTCTTTGCTATGCAAATGGATATTCTTATTCACCTAAATATTTCACATTGAACAGTATACGGGGAAAAGTGCTTGGAGTTATCATAAGATCTCATCTTTTCCGGTGCCATCCAATTTATGACTGTTCCAATGTTGGGAATCTTCACCGATGCTTCATCCTTGATTCGACTTAAATGAAAATTCGTGATTTTCGGATCCATCTTATCTGTTATCTAAAAATTTTTCATGAACGTAACGTGAATGAATGATGGAGGATAGAATGACGTGCGAAGGTATCTGATCGCTTCACTTTACCAGGATATTCGCACATCGAATGTCATGATGGAAAATTTCGCACCCGTGCAAGAAGACAATTCCACGACATATATTAACGGCGATTCTTAATTTGTCATACCACTCAAGTTCATACTCTTCATACAAACTCTTCAAGGTGCCATGACTCGCCCACTCGTAAACCAAGACGGTTCCCAAGTCCGGGCAGTAGGATTTTCCCCAAAATTTGATGATGTACGAAGAATGCGGTATCTTTTCAAGAATGGCGAGTTGTACTTCGTTCTTTTGTTTTTCCACTTCATCCATCTTCACGGGTTTGCAACAGACATCCTCCATGAATTTTCGGTATCGTTTCTTGATTACTTTATCGTGACTTTTCTGAAATTCTGGAATGTCCTCCAGATCATTGGGATCGATTTCCGCCAGTTTAAAGTTTATGTTATTCTTCTGATGGCCTTTGGGCTGTCCCCCGATGGATAGATTGTCTATCTTTTCCTTCAAAGTTTCTATGGTTTCGAGCAATATGTTAATCGATATGGAGTTTTTCTTTCCGATGTTCACCATCGTTGTCACGCCTCCGTTGATTCCATCCAAGAACTATTCGATATCAGTATCCAAACGAAGATGGTTAGTATGATCATACCGCCATCATAATCAGTTCCAATGCAATGAGACCCCTTCATTACCTTCGCCATCTCGGAAAGGTCTTCCTCGAGTATCTGTAAATCCTTCTTTCTCTGATCTTCATTGGCGATGATCATGGCAAGTTGTAAATCAGAGACGCAATAGTCGAAATCACTGACGAGATTCGCAAATTTCTCTTTTATCGAAGCACTCGAGACAAATTTACGATACCCCGAGAGGTGCGTAACATCCTGCACAAATGTTTTTGTGCGCCGCAAGACGGACAAAAAACGCTGAAAGGAATCATAATACTCTTTTCTTCGAAAATTCTCTTCATTCTCCTCTTTACTTCTCTTCAATATTTTTACCGCTGCTTCTGCGGCTTGAACCCGATTGATCAGCGTCTTACAACACCTTCTATTGTACTGAGCATCATCGTATGCCTTGAGTATTTCTTTTACAACTGTCAGGGCCTCGCCAAACAAGGGTACGAAGGGTCTGACTATCTCACTGGCGGTTAACCCAAACTTCACATCATCCAGCGAATCCTCGACCGTGACTTTATACTTTCGTTTTTCTTCACTATCTTCACGACACTCTTCCTCACCCATACTCATTAAGATCAATTAACTCTCCTTTGTATAAATGAAATTATGAAGAATGAATGAACTTTTAATCCTGAAAAGGAACGTCTTGGATTAAAAAGAACCTAAATGCTAATCAGAATACGTCGCACAAGCGCTTGGGATCATAAGACTCATTCCGATTTCCTTTTACGGTCCAAAAATGCACCAGCATGTCGCATACACACAGAACATCGGTATAACAAAATTAAGCTTACATACAGCACAAGATTTTATTTGCTCATATTTAATTATGATATACAAAATTTCAAATTATTCTGTATTAATGTACTGTATATTTCTTAATTCTCAATCAGGCTAGAGTCAATTCGAGTTGAACCATTGCAATAAAAATCATATATACTGTATAAACATATTTGACCCAACTCACCTATCAACAATATCGTACAGTGTTAGGTCTCTAGGTGTGATTTATGAACAATATATTGTTTATTTATTGAGTAGAATTAAGATCCATTTAATGGAGTTATGGCCTTCAGATTATTACAATTATAAATTCAATGGCTTTTTAATTTTAATATCATATTTTAAAAATTTGCATATTATCTTTTTTATTTGTTTCATCTCATTAATGGATATTTCCAAACTAATTTTTTTTATTTATTTTGTATTTTTTAGATATCTTGAACTAAAATTTTCAAATTTGAATCTTTTAATAAAATTAAATAACTTAATTAATGTTTTCTTTGATAAAACTCGTAAAAAAATTTTTTATTCTTGAATTCAAACCTATAATTTATTTGATTTTTATTATAATATTATATTTGCAATGTATTTTTATATTATTAATCTTGATTTAATAAATCAGTTATTAACTTGAAATCAAAATTATATAATATTTAGATAAGTTGAATTACAAGAAACATATGAATCAATTGTAATTAAATAATTTCTTTTATTATCAATCTTTTTTTTTAATAATCTTGTTATATTATTTTTTCAAATTGATAGTTTTTAAAAATAAAAGTATTATCAATTATAATAATTGTTTCAATAATAAATAACAAATATGTTTTTATTAAATATAACATAATAATAATTTTGTATAATTATTAATTTTTTTATATATTTAAATATTAAATAAATTTTATAAACAAATAAAAGTTCAATTTTAAACTTTTTTCATATATTATTAGTTTCAAAATATAAAGGATGAATTTATTTAATCTGTTATATGTTTTTTATAATTAAATATTAAAAAATTATATTGTATTATTATAATTTGCAATTTTTTATTGTTAAAAATTATTAAAATAAAAGTCTTGTTTATAATTTTTAAAAATAATATTAATATTTTTACTAATATTAAATTAAATATTTTATTCTTAAATAAAATATTTTAATATTGTAATAGAATAATTAAATTAAATTAAATTATATTATTTATTAACTTATTAACTTATTTAATAAACCTTAAAATTAAATAGATCAATAGATAACAATAGTAAGAAACAATTTGATTTAAAGAAAAATAACTTCAGTTATGATATATTAATATTAGTAGATAAAAAATTAAACAAGGTTTATTTTTAAGGTAAAAAATATAATAAGTTAATTTATAGTTTAAAATAGTTTTTATTTAAAAGAGTTCAGAAGAGTTAAAAAATTTCTTAAACATTTAAAAAAAACAATTGTTCTATTTGTACATATTTAAAACATCAGAAAAATCAAAGTATACAACAAATAAAATATGCCAGTTTTGTTATATATACTTTATATACTTGATTAGATTAATCAGATTGTTCTAATTAATTAATTGATTTAATATATCAATTATATCTAACAGAAATATCATATTTATTTGATATATTAAATATGTTATATATATTAAATAACTAATAATAGAAATAATATAATAATATAATAATATAAAATAATAATCCAAAAATAATATTATTAATACTTATAATAATATATAATATTTATTTTTTATTATTGTACAATATATTTTGTTATATCACAAAAAATTAAAAATTTTTACTTAAAAAGTTTTTTATCAAAAAACTATAATTAATTTATTCTTGTTAATTAATTTAAATATTAAATCAATTAAGTATTATTAAATATTAAAACAAATTTATATAATCAATATACTTTACAATAATTTTTTTTTTTTAAACACTAGCTGGGCCTTGCCCGGTATACTTTATTAGTTTGTGATGTTTACATTAGTTATTTACAAGTTTGTATACATTAATGTTATAACTTCACTTCTATTTATATATCAGACTATATCAGGAATACCAAATATCGGCTTTGAGCTATTTGATTTATTCTTATTGCAGTGCAATAAGAAAAGTGATCAAAAACTAATGTGCCAAGGCTCCATTAGTGTTAGTAAATAGTATGTATGAGTAGTTATTTTGTTCTGCGTTCCATTTGTATTTTGTATACCATCTTGTCATCTTTTCCGCCCAACTGACTGCTATTGCTTCTTTTTCTTTTGTGTTGTGTATACCAGTCTTCTTTTCTTCTGCTGAATTTTCTTTTTTTTTTCTCGTTTTCTTTCCCCTCTTCTTTTTTGCTGTGATGTTGTTTTCTGCTTCCCATTTTGCTGTTTTTTCACATCTGTCTTTCCACCATTCCTTTAGTTTTTTGTCCATTTGGTTTGTGATTGCTCTGCATGTTTCTGTGACCTTTTGTCCTACTCTGTTTCTGATATATTTGATAGTTTCTTTTGTGAAGACTGCTTTTGTGATTAGTGTTCTTGTGTGTTTGGAGTCTATGATTTTTAACTGATGGTGTTTCTCTTCGTGTTTTCCTTTGTTAACCCTAGCGCTGGTTTCTTGTTTCTCGATTTTGTTGTATTCGTTAGTGATACTTTCTTTCCAGTGATCATGTATCATGTGCTAATGTGTTTCTATTTTGTCTTTACAGCTTGGGCATGTTGCTGTTTTGTATATGTCTGGTCTTCGCTTTGTTAATTTGTCCAAAGTTGAAAGTTCTTCGTTAAGCATTTTGTAATGGAAGTTTCTTCTTGAATGGTTTTGTTTGTTTGTTTTGTTGCTTGTGATTAATGTTGGTTGCTGTGCCTCATGTGTCGTTTTCCAATCTATTTCTTTTTCTCTGCCATCTATTCATGCCATGTGTCGGTTTTGGGTTAACCATCTTGCCAGCCATCGTGAGCTTTGCTGTCTTTTGATAAAGCTGTTTATATTTGTGTCTAGGGTTGTGTCTTTCCAGATAATGCTGAATTGCGTGTCCTCTGTTGGTTGGCTTATCCTTATTTCCTGTTCTTCACCTTTCTGTACTCCTTCTTTGGCCAGTTTGTCTGCTCTTTCGTTTCCTATGATTCCTGTGTGTGCTTTTACCTTAATTAAATTTGTTGTTCCTGTTCTGTCTTTGATGGCTCTTTTTATATGTATAATTGTTATCCAGTTGGGTGTGTGTGTCATGGCTTTGTTTCCGCTTTTTCCTCTTGTCACGTTTTGTATAGCTGCCTTGCTATCTGTATATATGTTGACGTCTGCCTTGGTTGGTATGCATTTGAGTAGGCTAAGGATTGCTATTAGTTCTGCCCTGGTGGATGATGGAAAGTCTCGTACTCTTGTTGAAAAATCTATTTCTTCATTGGTTTCTTTGTTAATTGCTAGCCATCCCACTCCCATCTTGCATTTGTATGTACCTATTTCTTCTATGGATCCGTCTGTATATGCTTCAATTAATTTCCATGTTTTCATTCTGTCCTCCTTTGTTTTTAGCTCATTTTTTAATTGTGGGCTAACTCTGATTCCTTTGTATGTTTCCATTTCCTCTTTTACTTGGCTTCTTTGTGGTTCTTGCTTTTCCTCTATGATTCTTTGGAGGTTGTTTCGGATGGTAGATGGAGATGCCTGAATTCTTTCTAGGGTGTCTATTATTTGGCCATGTATCTTTGAGCTTTGTCCTGTTTTTATTACTGGGACTACTACCGCATCCTCCTTATTGATTATTTTGGTACATATACTGGTTCCTTGTTCGTTGTGTTTGCATCCAAAACATTTTTGTAGTGGTGAGTCTTCTGTTATCCATACCATATGTTGTACTTGGATAGTACTGCCTCCCTTTTTCCTTCGGTTGTCTTTCTTGCCAATGTATATTTGTTGGTTTATTGTTGTTGCTAGGTATTTTGAGTTTCTGATGTTGGTGTTTTCTATTGTTTTCAGCTGTTGAATTGGGTTGGGTTGTGTAAGTCCTATGATGTTGCACTTGTATCTATTGATCAACCAGTCTGGATAGCAGTGTTGTTCTCTAATGTCTATGAACCATTTTGGTTGCCGGCCTGTTGCCTACATCTTTTATTGAAATATATGCTTTTGATACATGAAGATATATAGTATACTTAACAAATACTACAGCTTATCACATTTTATACTTGCTAAATCCTCCTATCAAACTTTTTAAGGCAATGCCACATATACTTAACAAGTATTATACATATATGTTTATAGTTAACTTATCTATATATGACTAGCTATATCACTAACTTAATGCTATATATAGATACTACCTAAACTTCTGTTTTCAAAAAAATGTGTGAATCTGTCTTAATATTTCCCAGAACAATTTTATCCTCAAGAGTAGTCTGGTTATCAGGTCGTCGATTTCAGTATCCTGAACCCTGGTTTTCAGTCTTAGGAGTGGTTCACAGTTTTCACCTCCCACCAAGGCCTCCTGATAGTAAAGTCTACGAAAGCTGGCACAGCCAAGTGCTTGTTTAGTATCCTTCAATGCAGCCATTAGAAATCCTTCAGCGGCACTTTACCGGTTTGAAATCTACTTTTCTTATTACCACTTTTGGCAACGTGATCGTATTGGAGATAATTCTAGCCAATTTTGGATAACGATCATATCACAGTCCTCTTATAAACTAGTTTTTTCTATAATTGGAAACATCGGTTATTTGATTATGCCGATGGTATGCAGTTTTCATATTATTTGAGAAATCACATTAGCCCCCTAGTGGATTTGAACCTGGAACCTGGGAT